TTGTAGGTAGCCTAGTTCTCCAGATTAATTTCCAGGGCCATAAATCAACGATCATATTGTTAGAGCTTAGGTGAGCATACCCTGCTTTGACCGAGTATACCTTCCTTTGAGTTGCCCCATTTTAGACTGTCCTTGTCCTGCGCACTTCTCCAATCTTTCTAGCAATGGAAGGAGGTCACCGACCTCCCAATCATGTAGGTGTCTCCGTAAAAGTATATTACATCAAAATAAATTAGTACTAATAAATATGCATGAGACGTCGTAAAATTTATTTAGCTAGAATTAAACAAGGAAATTTACTACTCGTATGATGTACTTTGACTGGGCACGTAAGAAAGACTTTTGAAACTTGTGGTCCAAAATAAGCCATAGATATTTGTGTGGTTTTAAATCATCTCATTAAGGGTAAAATGGGAAGTTAAAGTTTAATTATTTCTAAATATAGAAAGGTATCATTCTTTTTGGGACCGACTAAAAAAAAGTACATGAGTACATCACATAAATTGCAACAAAGGGAGTATAAGATATTAAACAAAATTGTGGTAAGGCTAAGAAAAATAAAATAATAATCTTATTAGAGCAGCATAAAGTTAGGATTTCTAAAAAATATAGAGTAATGGGTATTAGGTGGGGGGAGAGAGAGAGAGATGAGCAAAGAGTAAAACTGCCCCTTGGTGCTGTGGATAAGAGTTGTCCGATGGCCACCCATGGTATGGAATTATTGTGAAGAGGGGATTTGAATTGCCTCCTCAGTCCCAAAAAAAAAAAAGGCAGTCCGGTGCACTAAGCTCCTGCTATGCGCGAGGTCCGGGAAGAGCCGGACCACAAGGGTTTATTGTACGCAACCTTGGCCTGCATTTCTGCAAGAGGCTATTTCCACAGCCTCCTCAGTCCCAAGTTCAAAATTAATCTAATCAATCAATCAATCAATTAATCAACCTCAATCTCAAGTTAGTTGGAGTCGACTATGGAATTTGTTTTTGTTCATTCAACTCTATTCAGGATCATTTCACTCCAATACGAAATAATTTATCATGAAAACAAATTATGGACCACGTGGCTAACTTATTTATGTTTCTTGTAGTGTGATTTTCTGTGAAGCTGTTGCTATATATGGTGTTATAGTGGCAATTATTCTGCAAACAAAACTAGAGAGTGTCCCAGCATCAAAGATATATGCACCGGAGTCCCTTCGAGCAGGATATGCAATATTTGCCTCTGGAATTATTGTGGGCTTTGCCAACCTCGTTTGCGGGTTTGTCACTCTTTCTTATTAAAGAAGCTTGTTTGCATACAGAGTTGTCTTCCGTTTCACTTAACCATCTTCATAAATATTCCTTTAACAGGCTCTGCGTAGGGATTATTGGTAGCAGCTGCGCATTGTCAGATGCACAAAATTCTAACCTTTTTGTCAAGATTCTTGTGATTGAGATTTTTGGTAGTGCACTGGGATTGTTTGGAGTTATTGTGGGAATAATCATGTCAGCTCAAGCAACATGGCCTTCGAAAGCATAGTCATGTACTTCTACTTTCTCTGTGCCATTTGGAAGCTGTATTTGCTTTCTTTCTGATGGTTTATTCGTGTAATTTTTGGTAGGAGTATTAATGCAGGAGGTTCTGGTTTTCCCATTGCATTCATCTGAATGAAATTGACATAAGCTAGGTCATGTCTGACCTACAACCGATATGTCATTTACACTGTTGTATTCTTACTGTACTCGAACTGAGAAAAAAATTACTTAATAAGCTATTGTTTCTTGAGAGTGCTGCTTGTACTTATTCTCAGCAAGGGAATATTATTTATGTGCGGATAGCGGCTGAGACAATAAACTCCTGCATGTAGTTACAGTGATGTGTACAGAATTGTGCATGAACGTGAATTGGTTTTCAAATGGAGTGCTGAATTTTTCCTTTACATATGGTAGTGTGCTTGTTAATTGCTTAAAGTTGGTTGTTCACTATAGCGAAATTGGAAGAGATTTTTACATTCTTATACCACATATCAAAATTGTTCCATTTGTACCCGACCCACCCACTTCTCTTTGCCTTTTGCTACCTCGGATCTGGAACCCGTGAAACCTCGACTCAGACTGCACAACCAACCCAGCAAACTCAGCCCCCTCAGTCGCCACTATTACCAGAATATGGAAAGAGGAGAGGAGAAAAAAAGGAAAAGGTTATAACTAAATCCTTTAATTTAAGACATTAATAACGAATTGTATATAATTTGTAAGTAGTAGTTGTTTAGGGCTCGTAATATACAAAACTAGGACGATTTTGGTAAATAAGTTTTAAATATTGTATAGGATGGAAAAATATCCCAAATTGGAAACCCCTTTTACCTCCGCTCACAATCCAAAAATTCATATAGATCGGGAAAAAATGTATCTCCTCTATCCAATTTGTTTAACACCTTTAGTCGAAATCTGGTTTTATCGATAATCAAAGTTAAATTAGTACGTTTTTTTTTAATATATAAATTTATATTTTGATATTCAAAAACTATAGAAAAAGTAGTATCAATTACAATTTATAACGTCTTTTATGTTGTTTCAGAATCTCGTCTTTGTCCATAACAAATTAACAAGGTCACACCAAGTTTGCTAAATGAAGAAACACGTATGGAAGGTCCTAACCATCTCATTTAAAAGTTTAATTGTTAGAGATAGAGCTGTCAATATGAGCGAGGCCGGGCTAGCCCAGCCCAGCCCACATGGACTTTAGCAATTGACGGGCTGGGCTGGGCTAGCCCACCATTTTGATGGGCCTTATAATGGTCAGCCCACCCCAGTCTTATATGGGCTGCGGACCCCCACGGGCCGACCCATCATTTTTTTAAATATAATTTTTATTTTTCTTTAAGTTCTAACCTAAAGAAAGATAAATATTTAAAAGTTAAAAAAATCTTATTGGAAAAATTTCACAAAACTTTATAACTTTTTATATTATTCCAATATATTATACTCCGTCCGTTCCAGTTTATGTAAACCTATTTTCTTTTTGGCTCGTTTCAAAAAGAATGACCCCTTTCTTAATTTGGAAATAATTTAGCTTAAACTTCCAATGTTACCCTTAATGAGAAACTTTTATAACAACACAATTACTCTGGACTCTTTTTTGACTTGTTTAGAACCACAAATTTCAAAAGTGTTCATTTTTTCTTAAACTCGCGTCCAGTCAAATAGGTTCACATAAATTGGAACGGAGGGAGTAATAAACACTAAAAAAAAGTAAAAGACAAGATTATTTCATTCACTAAAAGTTAAAACTCAAAACAGACTATTCAAGAGAACGTCCATGACACTTATGGGATATCCAACACATTATCTTCATCAAATACATTTGAATCCGCTTGTAAGAAGGTTATCTTAACATCTTCACTTTCATCTACATCTACAATTCGTTTGCAATATTAATTAGTTAAATATTAAGAATAATTACAAATTTTAAAAACTAATTAACGTTTTAAGAGTTTGATCTTTTAATGTGATGAGCTTAATAAACTTTAAGCTTGGGATACTCCTCTTGTTATTTTTGTGTCATACTTTTTATATTTTATATATTTTAAATACGTATTTTTATTAGGCCCACGGGCCGGGCCGGGCCGGCCTCAGTTAAGCCTCACGGGCCACGGGCTTACTCGGGCATGGCTTAAAAGCCTCGTTTTTAAATGGGCTAAAAAAATTCTAGCCCAGCCCTGCTAAATCACCGGCTGGGCTGGGCTGGGCTGACCCCGACGGACCAAGCCCATATTGACGGCTCTAGTTAGAGATGACACCTTTATTATTTATTGGGGCTGCTTGCAAGCTTTCAATTTCTTGGTTAATTCAACAGCACATCAACAAATACTATACCAAGTGCGCTAAAGGAGACACATTTGTTAATTGCGTGAACTTCAAACCTGTTAGATGTGAGACTTGGCCTCATTTGTTTGCACTTAATGGAGGTCTGAATCTTAATTATTCAGATCTCAGACATTAAGTGCGTTTGTTTTTAAAGTCTGAATCTTAATTATTCAGATCTTAATCATTAAGTGTGTTTATTTTTTTTACTTCACAACCACTTATTGGGTTTGAATAGGTCTTGTATGATTAAGATCTATAACAGAGACTTAATTTCATTAAGATGCTATCACATATTCATTACTAGTTGCCGCCACCGCCTATCATTATCAACTACCACCATGCCACCACCACCACCATACTTAACCACCACCACCACCACCCCCACACCACGACGCCACCATCATCCTCAATCATAGTCGCCACCATTATCGACCATCACCACCCACTATCCCAACCACGCCGACCACCATAATCATTTTCACCCACAATCAACACTCGTCCACCTCACTACCACAACTGACCACCCCATCACCATCAACAACCACAGCCGACACTGATAACCTACCACCACCAACCCACCACCTTCATCAGTCACAACTACTACCACCACCCGCCATTATTAACTATCACCACCCACCACCACCATCCTCAATCATAATCGCCATCACTACCAATCAGTACTAGATACTAGCATGAACCACCATCATCAACCAAAACTACCACCAACCACCACCTCTAGCCGGCATTCACCCGTTAGCCATCACCACCACCAACTATCTTATTTTAAAAAACTATATATTTTATTGATAGAATTATAGATTAGTTAGTATTTCATTTGAATTTTATGCTTATTAATTTTCAATAAAGATAAATTTTATATATTCAGATGTTAAAAATCAAACAGTCTTAATTATTTCTATTCAGATCTTAATATACATCTTAATATATTCAGATGTGTATTCAGATTCAGATGTCTTAATCTTAATGTCTGTTGATACATGTTGAACTGACTTCTAAAGAGATTATGCAATTATTTATATTTTCACTTTGCAACAAGATACTTTAAAGTTTAAACTATGAAATTTCACCTTCATTTACATTACACATCACGTCCTGGATTTTTTTATCAGAGGCAATGACGACAACTCTGCAATGTATAGGCAATGATAGAAAATTATATTTGCTGTCAAGTATCAGCTTTATTTGCAGTTCACTACATTCATGAGGTCGTAAATTCTAAACAGATTAAACAATAACTCTGCAGCTATACATTGGGTGAATCGGAAAACACACAATCACAGGCAACATGGGAGAATATACAGAATGCTCGAGGCTCAATCATGCAGCCAACAATGCTTTAGTCACCAGGCCAGTTAAAAAAACTAGTGATATTACTTCAATATGGAGGGAATATCATAGAAATAAGGCATGTTTTTCTGCTGAAGCTCTTCACAATCTTCTGAACTTGCAGTTTTTGGATCAAAAGACGGGCGGTCTGAAAGTGATAAACCTTGTTTAATGCGACCTAATCTCCTTGAATGCAGAACCTGCTTTGAGGCAACTGGCAGCCGAATGGACTGATACTCTTCGAGGGCAGAGTTCAGGTTTTCCACTCCCCACTTCTCTAAGCATTTGCCTAAAACAGCTGCATCCAATATCGACATGTTTGTACTTCTCAAACCATGAGGAGTAGTAGGATGAGCTGCATCTCCAATCAACACTACTTTGTCCCAGAAAATTTGCTCTAAAGGATCACAATCATATATCACATTTAGAAAAGGCTCCTTAATTTCTTTAATTACCCTAACCAATTCAGGAACCCAAGTCTTCTCAGCTTCTTCATGCATGTTCTGAATCAAGTTCTCGTTAACCTTCATGGTCACAGAATTCCCCTGAATTTCATCACAGATTATTGGTTTTCAGAATTAATACTTTCATTAAAAATGGACAATACTCGAAATACTATTGTAGGAAAAAAAAATGTAAAGATATCAAACTTCAGAGTCCCCTTGTCCCCCCCTCTAGTGAACACTCAAAATGTGTTGAACTTCCATCTTCAATTGTATCAGATGTGTGGTTTCGGAAATGTTCCTGCAAACCTCCATCCACTCTCCTAGGTTCCAATCATTATCTGATCTAATGGAACTATATGTTGATCCATTCATGAACAACAGTTTTACGTTCACTTTAAATCAATCATCCACGTCTCGATTCCAAATCATTAGGTATATGAATCCTCTTTATCACTTTTCTTTATACAGGTCTATCATTCCAACACCTACTAAATAAGAGAGGGTTCATAATACTGCCTCCATTCCACTTTATGTGGCAGCATTTCCTTTTTAGTCCGTTCCAAGAAGCATGGTGGCTTTCTAAATTTGGGAACTATTCAACTTAACTTCCCATTTTACCTTTAATGACAAGCTTTTGTAGCCACACAAATATTATGGTATATTTTAAGAATAAGTTTCAAAAGTCAATCCTTTCTTTCTTAAACTTCGTGTCCAGTCAAACTATGCTACATAAACTGAAACAGCGGGAGTAATTGATTATTTTACACTGGTCATCAGCTTATCACAACCCACAACTAAACTCTCTTATCAGCGTAAATTTGAACATTCATTCATGACTGACATTACTTTAGCAACCGTGTCACTGCATTTGACAACAAGCTCATACCTTGAGGCTTGGTTCGGGCTGATTAATGTACCATATCCAATTGAACCTCTGGTTCAATAGCTCATAAAATACACTATGAGTTCCAGAGCTCAGGTCAAAGTACAGGCATTTCCCAAGATCTGGATACAATTTCTTAAGACTAATAATGGCTTCTGAGTGTTTCTTATCGGAAAAATCAAGAACCCCTCTCCATGCACAGTAACCTGAATATCTACCAAAAAATAGGTGTGTCGTTAAAAGCATCAATGATCAAACTGTTGCATTTCCTCAATTAAAAGCCAGGAAAAGAAGAACTTTAGTTGACTTTATATACTAACCTCAGTTTAAGGTCGGGAAGGAAACTTTGTCTGATTGAAGACAGACAACCATCAGCAGCAATAAGCAAATCAGCAATAATGTCAATTGTAATGCCCGTTTTAAGAACTTTAGTTTCGACTCTCACTTTTGATTTATCATCATACATGGAAAAAGAAAGAAACAAATAACCCCAGAAAACAATATCTAGTGGTAGTGCACCATACAAAAGGCTATAGAGATCAGCCCAATAAGCTGCTCTGAAATTGAAATGTTCATCCCTTGCCAACGTCCGGCTCACTTTTGTTTCTCCATCTGTTGCCTGGTTCTGTAGTTTACCATAAGTTCACGAATGAGGACGGGATGAAAATTTAAATTGAGGAATTCCAAAATTTCAACTAATTCGCGATTGAGAACTAAATTAGACATCACTAGCAGGGCAAACGCACGTGTGTCCAAGAAGTGTGGATGTGCAAACAGTAGGCTAAAGTTACGACCACTTGTCGTATCCGATGCTGCCCGTATTGTCGATGACTGTCATCTCCAACTAAACCCGCTTGTGCAAAATTCTGGTCCCCCTTTGATCATTGGGAGCAAATTCCATGGCCTCCCAGTGAAGGAAGAATTGCAATCATTTGCTTATGTTGATCTTAAATCGAGTGCTAAATGCACATAGACATTAAACATGCCAACACCTCACTTCAATGTTAACTTTTAACTATAAATTTATGCATATTAACCACGAGCAAGAAGACATCAAAATAGGATCAGTATCGTTTTAACTCATAGTATGAAATGTAAATGTGTCCCTCATTTTTCTTTTCATCTTGTCTCTAGCCGAGGGTCTATGGGAAACAACCTCTCTGCCCCCAGGGTAGAGGTAAGGTCTGCGTACGCACTACCCTCACCGGACCCTACTTGTGGGAACTAACTGGGTTTGTTGTTGTTATTGTTGTCACTCATGTTACCAATCAAAAAAATATGCATGGTTCCTCATGTTTGCTACTGCAGAACTCACTGTCCTACCTTCGCTTCATGTTCCAAATCCCTGGACTAAATAAAAAAATGTTCTTAACAAGTATTTCACACTTTAGCTAATCTCTAAAAAAGATTTTCTACTGGTTTCTCTCGTACCTCAGTTTATAAGTGAGACTCTGCTGTGATGCCCGTCAGTTTACAGAATCAAATGTTTCAAGAATTATAGTGATTTACCCAAAAAAACATTTTTGTCGTGAGTGTTGACACTGCAGGCCGATGATGAACAACTTGAAGCTAAGCATACACCAAAACATACTCCATAATGATCAACTTAAAGTTCATAAGACATTGTTCGTCAGTTGTTGAAAGAGTACCATAGTACCGCCCCCGGTTTTTCCCCTTCCATAAATAAAGACCATTAAATAGAGGGGCATATGATGATTCTTTCATGACACGAGGTGTTAATTTACTTAGGGATTGAAATATCACCCCTCTCTATCTTTTACTAGCCAGATCACAAAAAGAATCGCTGAATGTTTGAGGCATAGGAGTGACAACTGGAAATCTTAAGTTCATACAGGAGTACAACACTAAGCGACTCGTGAACCCATTTGCTCCAACTTTGGGGGACAGTATTATCCAACACCTATTCTTGTGGGTGAAGCAGGCTGCCCAATGGATTAGTCGAGGTGCAAGCTGGTAATGAAACTACCATTATACATATATAGTCATATATATATGACTCAAGCCTCCCTAAGTCCTAAATTATTGACTATTAGCATGTTAATGTTAGCTCGTTTTATCTGACACTATTTGACATGGTATAAAATTGAAGATTGTTTATTTAACTTGACAATTAGTAGATATAAGTAGTAGGAGAAGAAACATACATTAATAGTTGAAATTTTGGTTTAACAAACAAAACAGCAAATAAAAGTATTAATTTAACTTTAAAAAATTGAATTCTTGAACTTTATGACAATATATTATTGATGGAACAGGGTAAAAAAACTATTGCAACAGTATCTTACAAAGCAGACAGAAAAAAACCCAAAAAATAAAATAGCAAACACATTCAATCAGTTAACTGTAAAACCAAATAGCTACTCTCAAGTAAATAGAGCAAAATATACTAACTGTTAAAAAAGATGAGATTCTTGATGTGTACTTACTTGATCAACTGTAAGAGGCAAGGTGGTTTGTTGAAGGAGGTGGGGTTGTTGAAGCCAAGATTGAATGATTTGCTGAGAGAAAGGGTCAAGTCCAAGACCAGCACCAGTGGGGCTACCAGTTGGAGGTGCTGGAGTTTTCTCAAGAACCACCACTTGCCAACCTGCTCTGATGAGAGCATGTGCACTGCATATACCTCCTATGCTTCCTCCAACTATCACTGCCTTTGGTTTTCCCATTTCCTTTCTTTCTCTTCTCTGCAAATGCCACCCACTACTCTCAGCTGAAAAGGTACAGACGACCAATGTGGACACGTGTCAGAAGAATCTTACAATGTAGATACCTTGTGCACGTGCGAATAGTGGTGGAAATTGCATAACTTTCAATATCAATTTAACTAAAGGTAATGAAGAACTATTTTTTAATTTTCATTACCGCTAGAAATTTATATGTACAAATTTTACATAACTTTTGGACTGAGATTACAACAATTAAGCATTAATTTTGATTCACAAATTGACAATTCTTACTATCCAGCTCACACAGTTTGGACCAATTTCATTTCCATATTTAATATTTTGAGTTCTTTAATACTAGAAATATTTTACATTTTTTATGGCAATAGCCTAAATGACACTTTATACTTGTGTCACTCTGTCATGCCGGTCCCCAAATTTAACAATTTGTCAATTGAACACTAACATGATAGATTAAAAATAATTACTCATCTATTCTTTTTCTCGTTTCCTCTTATCCTTACCCCACTGTCTTCTTATTTTATGTTTCTACTATCATATGGGTTTTAGATCCGGAACTTTGGCCGGAATTTTCACCGACACTGACTCTTATATTGTATTTTACCTCGTCGATTGGGAGGTCGGTCACTTCACGACGGATGGTGGAGAGGCTAACATATCGGCGAGAGTTAGGGTTTTGGAACTGGAGGCGATGGAGGAGGCCTTGAGGTTTTTAGGGTTTTGAGGATGACGGAACCGGGTTTTAGCTTGGATTTGAAAGGGAGGGCGTCGGAATCGGAATCGGAGTCGTGAGCTGCTCACTGGCGTTTCTTCTTGTCCGCCATTGATGACAGAGATTACGGCGGCGTTAGTGGATAAGTGGAGTTAGGGACCAAGGAACAGTGTTCACATAGCTGAATCGGAGGTAAATTGAAAAGTGGGGGCGTAAAATCGAAAAGAATAAGACCGGTGAAAAAGATTGGCCATACAAACACCATGTGAATCAAGATATTCACTGGGTTGCTATGATATGCGCCATAAAATGCAAACTGCTTCTCTAAGTAAAATATTCCCACACTTTCTTTCACCCTATCCTCCTTCTGCCTTTGCTCCTATAAGGTAATTGGGTAATTATGAAGAAATTGGGCTTGAATGATTTGCCCCTCTTTTGGTATTATAAAGAGGAAAGTTGATGGGAATAGGGATAGGGAAATTAGTGTGAACGCTTTTAGAAGAATTAGTAATTGTTCTCACGCGGTGCAAACAATGATTTGTATTTGCATTTACAGACGATAATTAAATCAAGAAAAACAAATCTTTTTGTTTTTTCTTGGGGAAGAAGAAGAAGCCTGTAGGGAAAACAAGAAAACAAAAAGGTGAGGGTGGAGGCAGAAGCTAACAGGAAAAAGAAAAAATGGGGTGGGGGAAAATGCTAACAGGAATTTTGTTTTTTGTTTTTTGCTTTTTTACATATTTTATTTTATTGTTCATTCTTATTTTAATTATTTCTTATTCAAAATATCATATTCACGCTTGTTGTACGCGTGAAGTACACTCGCATTGTTCAGCTCAACTATTTTGTTGCCACATGTGCTTGGTCAACGATCAGAGGAGTCTAAAATATAAGTTTTGATCAAGTTAAAGTGTCTGAATGAAACTTTATAAATTATAGGGACCAAAATGACAAACCGAAACAAATACAAGTGTCTAAGAGATTATTCTGCCTTTTTTTTATTGAAGTTTAAGACCAGGCCATTGTAATAGTAGTAATAAATTCGCCATACATGTATACAATGTGCAGCACTATTTGTACTCGACTCTGACAAGAGTAAAATACCAATACGACATCGTTCTGTCGCCATATCATTTTCTTCTTCCAACTCCAAAGGCACCACAATTCACATACCCTTTTGCGCCTGTCTGTCAATCTCTCAGGTCTCGACACACAAATGGGTGCGGGGCGTGAAGTGTCCATCTCATTGGACAATGTAAGAGACAAGAACATGATGCAACTGAGGAAGATCAACACTGCACTCTTCCCTATTCGTTACAAAGATAAATACTACTCCGATGCCCTTGCCTCTGGTGATTTCACTAAGCTAGGTTCGTTTTCATTTCTGGGCTTTCCTTTTATTTTTGGTTTTCTATATCTAGGGTTTTCTAGAATTTCCGAAGTCTATCTCTTGTCACTTTGCTGTTTCCGAGGATTAATTTGATAATTTTAGAGTAAACCTTGACGTGAATGAGTCCGTTGTTTGAATCCTACTGCCTGGTGTATCTGGAGGTCAAGAATATTCTGATGTTTCTCTTTTTTTTTTCATCTCTATTTGGTGCTGCTTCAGCTGTTTCTTGTTGTTTTTTTGTGTGTTTATGTTCAATGCAATTTGAAATGGAATCTCTTCCGTTCTTCCTGTAAATAATGTTAGTGTTTAGGATTTCATATTAGTATTGGATTAGTAGTATGTGGTGATGTTGTGTTGGGTGTTTTGAGGGTTGATGTTATTTCAATGTGTTTCTATTGGCACTTTATGGTTTGATGGATGGTTCTAAGTTGTGTTTGTGATTTAAGATATTCATGCTAACATACAATTGAAATAAAATTTACATCAGTTTGGAGCTCTTTATATAAGATCCACTCTGGAAGCTAACTTTGCCATACTTCTCTTACATAGCAAAGAAACTAGCTGATGCACGACATGCACCACAATTCACTCCGCTACATCAAAATGAGGTATTGTGTATATTCGTTCAAATTAATCTGATCAGTTCTGTTTTCAAGGGAGAAGTTCAAATGAGTAACTTGAAGTTTTGGACTCTATAATTTAATTTTTTTCATGCTGTTATTTTGATGCCAGTTTCCAACACTAAGCCTTTGCTTCGGTAACTAGGACCCCCATAAAAAAAGCGACGATAAGTGTCCCTGAAAAAGACTGGGTAAGAGTAGTATCCACAGTTGGTGCTTATGAAGGAAAGTAAGTCAAGGTAAATAGATTAAATGCAGGATTTAGAAGGTAAACCTATTTGGCTCCACTAGAGGTGGCAAAATGGTTAAAAGAAAACAGTTATCCACCCATATTATCCAAAAAAAAATGGGTTGGATAATGAACCATTTAAAAACGGGTCGAATATGGATAAAGAACCATATTATCCACTTAGAGAATGGTAACCAAATGGATAACCAATGGATAACTAATGTGTTTAACTTTTACATATGTAAAGCCTTAAGTTGGAGATCCTCAAGTTTGGAAGAATAGGAATTCTCTCATAAGTGATCATATTTAAGAAGCCATGGATAATATGGATACCCATATTATCCGCCGGATAAACCCGTTTTTATCCGTCTCAAATACGGATCGGGTCGGATAATGTATCCATTTTTTAAATTACCCGTTTGACCCGCTCATATCCGACCCGACCCGCCCGTTTGCCCCCCCCCCCCCAGGCTCCACTTTGTCACAAGCACGTTGAAGGTCAGAAGTTCAGGGAAATCTTTCTCTTGTATTTTTCCTCTTTTCTGGATTGTGTAGTATTTATAAGAACAGGGACACAATCGAAGTCTAATAATAGTAGTAATTGTAATAGCAGGTTTTGAGTCTATGACCAAAGTAGGAAGTGAAGGAATCAAGAAGCAAATGGAGGACATTCAGGGGTTTGTAGTAAGGAGCTTTACCCTGCACGAGTTCTAGGTTTAAGTGGTTAGAGGACTCTCCAAGGGACAATGGACGGGTCAAAATTGGAAATGGTCCTTCTTTCTGTTGTTGCTCAAGATGGTCGATTGCTGCAGTCGACTACCCTATGCCTGACCACTGATTGCTAGACTATCTTTTTGCACTAGGTCGATTTCCTAATTTTCGTGAATCCTATTAGAATCCAACAGAAATCTTAGCTTGATTTTGTAGTTTTGCCCTCTGGAATATTTGGATAAACTTAAATCTCCAAAATATTAAGGAAAAAAGGAACCATTTTAGTATGTCATATCTGTTAGGGCACCTGATGCTTGATACATTTGGTTTTGTATAGCTGATACTTTGGTCTTTCTCTTCTCCATTTGCTAGATTAGTGTGGGTTGAAATCTGATGTAGTTGTCTATGTCTTTACCACCAAATTGTTGCAATCTCATAAATCTCAAGTTATCTGAATACATTTACAGCTGCAACATCATATTAATATTTTCCAGACATCTCTTCCCCCTTAGTGCCGTGTTCATGACATGCTATGGAATGCCCATCGTGTTTCTTGTTGTTCAAGTAGTGAAGTACAAGAATAAGAAGACCTTATATTTCACAATTCAGATTTTATATTAGGTTTCCTGAAAGAGTTACTATAAAAGTATATTTGAAAAATATTATGTGAATATCTGCTTATGGAGTGTACATATTTTTCTTCTTCTTTAAATTTCCACGGGAGTTGGTGGGGAGCTATCTTGCAATGAACCTTTTAATTCGCTTAATCAGTTTTTTTATAAAATGGAGAACTTTTACCTTAAAAGTAAGATCTGATGCTCTTGAGCATTGTGTGATTGACTCTCTATTAAAGTTTCCAGTAACTAGGTCTTGTACAAGCTTTGGTACTATAGTTCACAAAACACGCTCTTTAGTGGAGAAACACAAATTAACAAATGCCAGTGAGCATGTTTATTTATCATAAATAAGTACAGTAATAATTAATGCTTGAAGCATGATCTGCTATTCATTTGCAACAATGGCAAGTTAAAGATGCAGTTCTTCTCCTTGCAGTGTTGTGAAGAGCGTGAAGCGAGGAAAAGCGACAACCCCCATTTCGCTTAAAGCGAGAAGCGAGAAGAGAGAAGCAAAGCGCTCGCTTTTTTGAAGTGAAGCGGAAATTAAAAAAAAATTAAAATAAATACTGCATAGACAACACATGTAATTGTAAGCAAATGTTCAATACTTCAATGTAAAGGATATAAAAATTAGAGTAAGGGCAGTTTTTCTCTGTTAAAAGCTGGGCAGAGAAAGAAGAACTCAAGGATTGGCATCAATTCTGAGAAAGAACCGAAGGTAAAAAAAAAAATCGCCATATTTGGACGTTGAAACAGTGAAAGAAGAAGAACATACCTGTTGCTGTTGAAGACTTGCAGTTGAAGGAGGAGGAGGAGGAAAATCAGAACATACCTGTTGCTGTTGAAGACTTGAAGTTCAAGTTGAAGAAGAAGAAGAACCCTAGTCTAATGCTCTCAGATGCTCTGCTTTAAAACCCTAGTTGCTGCTGTTCGTTTAATAAAAGACAGAACAATTTCGTTTTAATTAAATAGCCTGGGTCTCTTTAAAAACAAAGAAGTGGTCGCTTCCTTCGCTTCGCATTGCATCGCTTGGTCGCTTCTCGCTTTTTAGTGGGAAGCGGTCACTTTTTTATACCTGAGTCGCTTCACCCATGTGAAGCGGGCACTAAGTCGCTTCGCATCGCTTCTCGCTTAAAACGAGGAAGCGGGTGCTTTTTTAATCACTGTCTCCTCGTTAGGATTATTATAAAGTGCAAATAGCAATGTATGATTACCACTTCCTAAAAAGTTCTTGAAGAACATTGTTTGCTTAAATGAGAGAAATAAAAGAAGCATGTGAGATTATTGGATTATGCTTCTTCCTTTTGGTCAATAGAGAGTCGTGTGGATGTTTAGTGAACATATCTCACCTTTTGGAGCGAAGTTCAGCTTGATAATTTTTTCTGCAAGTGTTTTTTTTTTTTTTTGGGGGGGGGGGGGGTAGGGGGGGGGGTTGGTTTCCTTATAGCATAAGGAGGTGACATGTTTCCTCTGTCTGGTGTCATCTTTCCTCTGTATAAGCATTGATATTTCAAATGTCTGACCTGTTTTGATTATTTTTTTTGCTGCAGCATATTATAGTGACATTTGTGTAGGTTCAGTTGCATGTCGACTTGAGAAGAAGGAAGGTGGAGCTGTTTGTATTTACATAATGACTTTGGGTGTTTTAGCTCCATATCGTGGTCTGGGAATTGGTAAGTGATCAGCTTATCTTGCCCACCTTGTTCAGAGTGAATATTAACACTAAACTTTCCTCTTTTCCTTTCACATTTACCACTGAACGTGTGTGTATTGATAGAACCCCCATACTTACATCATTTTTTAATCCTTTTTTTAGTATCAGTATCTTTTCTTTTAGTCTTTGAATTCTGTTAAATTGCAGCAACTACACACTCAGAGTTATGAAAAGGTATTGAGCTATAATTTCTGAAGATGAGTGGCTACAGAGAATTCAATTGATGTTCACTTTCTCTTGATACCTTAATATAATTGAACTGTTGCTTATATATGTTACCATCTCAAAAAAAAAAAAAAATTGAACTGCTGCTTATGTATTCATCATGTTTCTTATACTGTGCAGGTACAAAGCTGTTAAATCATGTACTTGATCTTTGTACAAAGCAGAATATCAAAGATATTTACTTGCATGTACAGACAAGTAATGAAGATGCCATTAACTTCTATAAGAAATTTGGCTTCGAGGTTACCGGTACCATCCAAAACTATTACACAAACATTACCCCACCAGACTGTTATGTCCTAACCAAGTTTATCTCTCAAACAAAGAAATGATACGTGGGAGCTACCTTGGTTGAGATTTCGTCGAGCCTTGACATAGTTTTGAGGTTCTGAACCTTCTGGTTCTAGTTTTTGTTATTTATGGGATTTTATACCACAATTGTTGGACTGCCTCTCTTTTTTCTATTTTCTTAATGTGCAACAAGTGGTTTAATTGTTAAAGATATAGGACAGTTCGGTTAAGGCAGAATTAAGTTATTGTTTGAGTATGATTGACCCCTTTAATGGTATATGTATCTTCGCACAAAGCTTCATAGATATATCATGCAAACAGAAGCGTCGGTTTTTGCTTTATTGTTGTTCTTAAAATCCTGTTTGATGCATGAGGCAGACAATTTTCAGCCGAGAGGGAAAGCAGATGGGCAACGGGAGACAGAGGTGGACCTACGTTGTGCCTAGAGGGGTCACGGGCACCCGTTAACCTCGAAAATTGTTTATGTGGTATTGTGTATATACCTAGAAGATACTGTGAAGAGTTGATATATATTTTAGGGGAACCCCATTAACACAAATGCTGCATCGGGGCACTGGTTTGGGCGGCTGATCTTGTGCTTGATGATCTGAGTTTGAATCCCCTGCACCTTATGTTTTCCATTTTTTAATTTTGTTTTCAGTAGCTTGCCCGCCAAACCTCCATAAGGCCCTACGTTTCTTCTTGTTCTAATTTAAGCCCTTTACTTCTCTCTCCACGATAGAACATATTTTAGGCACACCAAATTTGAACCCTTGGTCCAATTTTCAAACCAAGCTTCTTTCCCCAACAGGTCAACATATATGGTAAACCCTTCTCGCCCTCCATTTATTTAGTTTAATACCATTAAATATGCACCAAGCTTCTTTCTTCTCCTTTTTGTGACTTGAATCAATATAGACTATTTGTGATTGACTTATAAGAGATTTCTTTTCCCTTTAAATTTCATGATGTTACTTTTGCTGATCTTTGGGAATGTTCAACTAAAAAGCGTTAAACAAAATATATGAATACATTATCATTAATAAATTTAATTGCATTGAAAATTAGTATTACATCAACAACGATAATTAATTTCCAAAGCTAAACTAAAAATATAAGAAAGCACAAAAGGAGCGCGATGTAGTAGGTTGATTACTTCTGCAATTAAATTTGATTTTACTTATGGAAAGAGTATGCTCGTCCATAAAGTAATTTAAGAATGAAGTACGTAGTAATAGTATTGATGCATTTTAAATGATTGTTTTGTTTGTTACATTAAGAATGTCATTTGTAAAGATAAGCAGTATATTATGATTAACCGTTTTCAGAATATAAAAGCATCGAAGTCTATGACGACTATGAGCCCCACCTTCCGTAGGCATGTTCGGGGAGTAGCCTGCTTAAGTATACACTTCTAGTCCTCCGAGTTAGGCCCGAAATCGATAAATGAAATTTGTTATCACGCAGTGCAAGAGGCAAGAAATGAAATAGAAGAATTTTATGCCCACCGCGCCCTCTCTTTCAATTGAGCTGATCGTCGTATTAGATGTGGCCTTTCATTCCTTAAGGAGTGAGAGGGTAAAGGGGAAATGGTGGGTGGCCCCCTACAAGTTCTTGAAGTCGGATGGAACGAAAGCGCATATAGGAAACAGCTCCCGCTGAAGCAATTGTAGCAGCTCCTGCACCAATTGATTTTGCACCTTCTAACATCTCGAGTTTAGAATTCTCCTCACTGGTAATGCCTCATCGTTGATAAAAAAACCTTGCCATCCCCAGCTTTGTCCCCTGCTTAAAGTTCATTGGCATATTCCCCTTCCCCAGCCATAAAACCAATGCAGCCTCGGGAAGAAAACCAACCCGGTTACTCACCTTGACGATCTCATGCTAATCACGGAAGCAAGCTCGCATTCCGCTCAAGGCCTCTTCGATCTACTTGACGACTTCACCAACGCTTCTGGTCTCAAGAAGAAAAGCAAATTGTTGATATCAGGAAAAAACATCCTACGTAGGCAAATTTCTGCTATAATAATTCCATAACACCTAGCGAAGATATGGCAAACAAATAAAGTAGCCCTATGTTCGGATCTGACAATACAATACCATAATCAAAAGGTACAACGGCCCGAGCGATCAGACTTTGGTTCCGCAGTTTTAGAATTCTGCTGATCCCAAGTACTCCATCTCCATCATTGCATATAGGAATATAGAAAGTAAAGAGGAAAAGGCATGACCAGAAGAATTGTGTGAAATAAGTGAATGCATCCAGTTGAGGCATTCTTGATTGATTGAGACAAAACGATTCCTTGATCTTTGAGCGCTTTGGTGCGCAGGCTTGGCTCCAGATCTTTGAAAAAGTCCTCGATGCGGTGAAATTGAATTTAGGCATCTTCAAAAGCTAACTTGAACTAAATAAAAGTAAAAGAAAGAAATTCATTGACTTCGCGCCTAAAACGCACTATGCTCCGCTTCAACAAATGAGAGTTTTCGGTGGAACCGGTGAACCACGCGAGCTGGTTAGATGCGTGGGACATAGGGCTCGTAGTACCTGCTAGCGCGGCTACGCAGTGGAAGGGAAGGAGCCTAAATCGATCCCCTTCTTTTTTTCTTTGAAAAAAGCAGTAAGGAGTAAGGAGATTAAAATCTATTTATAGTCAAGCAAGCCTTTCACATGGCTAACACAGAAAAAAGCACCAGCCGGGCCTCTCTCTTTGTTTCGATGAAAGCCTCATTCCGGCTAATGAAGATACTACTCCAGTCTTTCCAGTGGATCCTTCCTATCCCTAAGAATGGAACGAACCAAGTTAACCTATACGAGAGTGAGGAATAAAAGGACCGAAAGATGGGCGTCTCGATCTAAACCAGCCTTGTCTACCAAGAATCGATACATCGAGATATGCTCTACGGGAGCAAAACAAACTCTTTCCCTGGGTTCGGGAGTCTTTTTCTTTGAGAAGAACATCCCTTTCTTCGGCTTCATCTAATGAAAAAAAAATGACTCCCGAATCGTCGATGTGTTCCAAACCTTGATGTCGAGTTGAAGATGATGTGATGCAAGTGAACGTCTACGAAAAAGCTATCGTAAAGTTTTGTTCTTCGTTCCGTCGTCGATCAATTGAAGGCCCATCGGGATTGGGCATGGACGAGCCTTGACTGGACCAGCGTTGATGAAAAAAGAAAAACTTCCCCCATCGCATCATTAACCGGTGTAGGATTCAAGATCAGGTCCAGGATTCGAGTCAAATCGACCTTCCTTCTCAGGATCCGAAGCGGTGGCTGCTACAAGAATAGAATATTCCAAAGCATTCGCTTCTGAAAACTAATTGTGCCACAGTTGAGCGTTTCTGTCCAATCGCTACATAGACATAATCCAATGTCTCACTCTCAGAGGTGGCCCTTGAGATATGTCCCATAATAGGTCCCATTCTTCAACTCTTTCCCGAAAGTCGATGACTATTCATAGCTATTACCTTGACACCATATTTCAATGCATGTGCCCCAAAAGAGGGCTAGGTTCAAGGGTACGCACCTAGTAGTTGCGAGCCTAAGATCAAAGGCAGTTCCAAAAAGGAGTTCTGTGTCTAGGGATTCCTGGGGCATAAGTTAAGCATATAGTTGATTGCTCTTTCTTTCGATATAAGCCCCTACGGATCTCTACATGCAATTCGCTCACTTCGGGAAAAGCGGACGGAATTCTTCGAAGCTAATTTGAAAATAAAACATTCGTTCCGTGACGTGAGGTTAATTGATGAGTTCAGTGGATAGAACGATCGATGTGAGGCCTAGGTCAAGGGAATTGCTGCGATTCTTCCTGAATAGCCTGGATTCTCTCGTCGAGAGTCACTTTGAAAATATTATTGAGATTTCCCCCGGGTTTCCGCTTCAGGGCGAGCATCTCCCACAACGCAAGCACCATTTTTCAACAGAATTGGTTCATTTTTTGATTTTATTTTTTTATTTTGGGAATAGTATCTCTCTGTTCCGGTGCCACACAAGGGCATATGGATTCGATTGCTCTATGACGGGCTTCCCTCTTTCCTTGGCTCTGCTCGCTCGTCTACGCTCTGACCCAGCAAGTAATAATTGAAAAATGATTTGGAATTAGACTACTTTAATATCAGACATCAAAGACAACACAGAATCCATGTCCAAGACTTGAGTGATAATTCTAGAGAATAGGGAGTGAACGACCCTTCTATCTAGATCGGTGATTTCGTTCGGCCGAGCCAACTATCGAAAGTCTTGCAAGCAACCTACACTAAGCTAAGCGAGCTAGAAGCTAAAGTGAATCTTTTTTGGCATCTTTTTCTTTGCTTTTCATGCGGCTCTTTCTAAAAAGAAGAAGAAAGCTCTAACCTCTGTGCACCCAGAGAATAAGCAACTCGCAGAATAGTTGTGATATCCCCATCAAGATCTAACTCTAAGAGGATACTATTTATTTCTTCTTCACACTGCTGCTCGCTTTGGAGACTATGATTTAGGTTAGGTTTTTTTATTGAATCATCGTGGTTCTAGTATGAATCTGAGGTTTTAATCGATTCATAGGGTCTTAACAAGAGAAGTGTGGTAGGCCTGCGTCGGGGGAGCATACCATAGGGAGGAAAGGGAGCCCGGATGGTGGAAGAGCCAGGGGAGGCCGGGTCATTTGACGGAAATGGAAGGCTTTTCCCTATATTACTACTTAATTAATGATATTCAATTTTTTTAAAATTTATATTTTGCTAATTGCTTAACATAATCCTTAAGTTAAAGAGAGTACGTTCGACTTTTAGCTAGTAATTGGCATGACTATGCTAAAGATAGTGGTGCCCTCGCCACGTTCAAATCCTGGGTCCGCCTTTGACATGAGAGAGTGTTCCATCATGAAGCACTTTTGTTGATTATGCTACAGTTATATATCTGACAACATAAATTTCCACAGCTCTTTGTAGAATTGATACGCAATTTTGGAAGTTGATCTTGGAAGGGAATGTCGAAATGACTGTGGAAGAACTCGATATGATGGATAAGCAAAAACAATCATGGGATGAAAATTTAGTATCGCCTTATCTCTTGTTTGGTTACTAAACCTAGGATAAGTTTATCCCAAGATTAAAATAGTATTGGGATTATTATACCTGCTAGAGGGTGGAATAATAATCCTACGATTAGTTATTCCAGGATAAATTAGTAAAATTGATGATCCCATGATTAATAAAACATACCAAACAATCAATAAAAAATAATTTCAGAATAACTTGTCTTCAAACCAAACGACCTAAGTGACATTGAAGAAAAGGGAAAAGTTCAAAGACAAACAGAAGAACCTCCTAAAGGTTTTATCTTTTCTTGTGCGCTTGAGAAT